CAGAGATGGTGGGGTAATAGTGTCACATGGATAGTACAAAATGAGATCTCTAACTAATTCTTAGGCCTGAAATAATATAGATTTGTAAATTCAACTTGTTGTCCTCAACTGGGCCAAAAAAAAAGATGCTAGTACCCTTATTCAGCACAACCCTAACCCTAATTCTTTTGGTGTTTTGTTATCCTTTTAATCATGGATATTTTCACTGCTGCTTTCTAGCTGTTTTCTAGTGTTGAGCTAGCTGTGTGTACACAGAGACACAGTTACACAGTTGTTTAGGGGTACCTCACCAGCATTGCATTATATGCAGGATTTAAAAAGTTAGGTCCAAAATTTGCTAACTTGTTAGGAGGTTTTGGTGCATCAGTGCATCAAAGTAGTTATTCTTAGAAAATTATTCTGAGAAAAAAGTAGTAGAATAAATGGGACTTGTTATGTAGTGTAAAGCAGAACAAATGTATGGCAAACAAAGTAAAATGCAACTATGAAATGCAGAAAAAATGTAAACAAGCAAGTCTGTTTCTACTGGCTTCATCAGTAGAAACAGACTTGCTTGTTTACATTTTTTCTAGTAATGTGGAGAAAGAGACAGTGCATGATAATGCTACATTTGTCACCTTTGATGAATCAGCCATCAGCATGTCGTAACTCTAATGCCATTTGGTGGACATCTTGATCCAAAATGACTCACAATAGCTGACAAAATCCACTTTTAGCATGGGTGGCCCAGTGGGAACCAAATAGCTAACCCTGGCGGTGTTCACGTGTCCTACTTGTCCCACACAATACTGCGAATAAAGCAGCCTCTTACCAGAACAGCACTGTGGAATTATCATTCATGAAAAATGAAATCTGTCAAAACTAGAGATTAATATCAATTGTCTGTTTGATTGATCGATCAGGGTATAGAATTTGTCCGTAATAAGTTGTTTCACAGTGAGTATGCCATGAAGTCTTTCCTCCGGGTTAGGTACACTGATCTAAGGTTTATTTAAGTCATCAATTAGATCTTGGCAGTTTGTAGTATCTAGCTACACACACAATGATGTGAGTTAGAGTGATGACCTGCTTGTCTTATTGTGATACCTGGAAGGAGATCACAAAATTAAGCCTGCAGGATGAATCGTTCACCACTCCATACACTAATGCTGTTGTGACGTTGGTGCATTAGTCAGGTGGCATGCCGCTGCAGGCAGTGTTGTGTTATTAAAAATGTAACAGCCCAGCGCTATGTATAGTATAGTGTATAGTGCTATGTTATTATGTCATGACTCTTGTGTGCTTACACAGTATTTATTATTTAATATAATATTATTTTGAGTCCGAGTATCTCACCACATTAACCCCTGGAAACTGAATACCTTCTATTTTTGGACTGTTCACAAAACCCAGTATACGGGTTAGTTACTGTTACTGCCCCTGTCAAGCTTTCCTTTCTGGCACAGCACATATGCAGTTTACAGTGGTGACGGTGGTAGATTTCCCTCAGACAATTCTTAATATATTTTTAAACATTCTTTAATTTCACACAGAATTAATCAAAAGAAGGCTAATTTCTCACTTCTTGTTGGCTGAAATGTTGCTAGGAGATTTTATCAGCTGTAGCTAGCTAGCTAGCTTTAATGTTTCCAACTGAAACAAAATCCCATATTAACGAGAATTAAATATACACAATGAGCTCTTATATCACTATATCATGTAACCTATGTGATATAAAGCTAAAAGATTGAGGCTAGCTGCATGTCCTTGGTAAAAAAATTGTGACTTCACACTCAACTGACACAGAGACTAATGCCTTTTAGCCCAAAAATAACAACTCATGTTATTAATATTTTTAGATAAAAAAAATGATATAAACTTTGACTCTAACTGGAGCTAATCATGTGGAGTGACAAAGGTCTGTTTGGCGAAAGCACAAAGGACATAGACATGACCTGACTTGAGAATTGACTCAGAACTTTATAGACAAGACTTGAGATTCATTTTTGAAATAACAAAAACACCCAACAAACAAACAAATGTGTCTCTAAGTACATAAAAGTGATTTAAGATTACTTGAAGCATTCACAAATGCATTATCTTTGGTACAAACGAAGCAAGTGGCCATGGCCTGTTGTAGACTGTAGGTAGACTGCGACAACTCTGTGTTGACAATTGTAGTCACTTTCTTTTCTGGTCCCCATGATCACGACCTACACTGCAACTTTTTGTCTAACAGCAAGATTTCAAACAAATCTGAAACAACTGAATCCGACTTGGAACACCCATATGAACAAACCTCAGAGAAAGAGATTTCGGATAAGAATATAAACATGTTGTAATATGAGGCCCAATGACTTTAGAAGTAATCGGAATAGAAGGAATTTGAGGAGGCACTGTGATATTTACCACCTTCTGTTTTTTGGGGATTGTTGCAGCCCAATGGCTGATTTCACAGCAGCTCTTTTGTTGCATGTTGCAACGTTTTTAGGAATGTATTTGCAGTGAAATTGTGGGAGAAATGAAAATTGCAGAAATAGTTTGTGAGGTAAAAAGATTTTTAAGCTTGGTGAAGTATGGCTCAACGATTTGTACGAGGCAGGACGGGGGCAGCAGGTCAAATTTGCAGAGGAAGTTGCAGTGATTGGACAAAATTGAAGGGTTGTGCAGAATCCACTGGGATTGGTTGAATTTGCGTTAATTGTTGCAATTGCAGGGTTGCAACTTCCCGGAGGGACTGTTTTTGTTCTTACATACTGCATTTGACAGTTGCTGCTAACATTCCTGTAAGCAAAGAGGGGTTTTTTCACATTTGGTAGGAAATCAACCAAAGAAACGCTCAGACTGGAGCTCACACAAGCACAAATCACATTATTGAGATGAGAGTTTTGTATGTTTAGAGTGAACTGGCTGCCAGTGGAAACAGCATCCTCCTCTGAGGATGTCTGTCTCCAGGAGAAACAAAGTTTACCACCTCACTGGGCTGGAGAATCCATCATCATTATGACCTCATAACTGTCACTATGTAAAATGTGCAGTCATTGCCCGTAAGTGTGTGTGTGTGTGTGTGTGTGTGTGTGTGTGTGTGTGTGTGTGTGTGTGTACGTGTACGTGTGCTGAAGTGTCCCAATTCACCTTGCCAAGGGATCATCATCTGCGAGCCTTGCAAGCTTTTCTCCACACCTGTACACACACACACACACACACACACACACACACACACACACACACACACACACACACACAGTTGCATCTGTATCACTCGTTTGCCAGAAAAAAGCCCTCACTCTGGAGGACGTCATTGTACACTCGTGAGCACATTTGGTCCTTACGACTGTAGCAATGCAAGAACTTACGCACATGCAAACACAAATACATGCACAGTCACAATCACATACACCTACGCACAACAAACCCCTGTAGAGCCTGTGAAGACATTTCATTCTGGGAGGACAATTACAAAATATTTGAGGAGAAACAGAGAAAGTGAGAGAGCCATACAGACCTATTAGTAAAAATAAAGGAGGAAAGAAAGAAAGAAAACCTCAATCCAGTTAAAACATTTGTGATAATAACTTAGGGACAAAGGGGTTTTAAAAATCATTGATACCAGGAGTGTGTAAAAATGTCCTTCAAGAGTCAATGAATGACACTGATGTATGGCTTTCTTTATCTATAGTATACTGACATTTTTGAAAATATTTCCTCACTTTGTGTCATGCATGCAGGATTTTGCCACCTTAAATTCACCCAAAAACATAAAAAAAAACTCAGTTTTTGCCAAATGGTAGAGTTGGTAATTTTTTTCATATTTGATACAAATACCGTTTAATAAAGGAAAGCTGAGCTCTGACTGTTGCCATCGCCTCTGACTGCAACCACGGCGCCAGTGTGCGCCCCTCAGGTGTGGCTATAACCCTTTTTGTTGCTGTGGCTGTGGCTGTGGCTGCAACAACAGTGACCTTCATTGATATGCTGTAAATGTAATCTAAGTATATTTTGGTACACACCTGCTCACAAAACGTGGGATGTACTTTAGTACTTTTATTTAATGTGCACAATTTTTGTTGGGGAGAGTATCCAAGGACACATCATTGATTTCATTAAATAAAACTGCATCTTAAATACAACTTAACGCACTAATACTAGTTTAGTTTACTCATTTAGGGTCCAAAGGTGTGGAGGGGGCCACACAAATTGCATATAATAATAATTTATTATTCAATTAATCAATATTACAAATCAAATACGGCTTCTACAAATAAACAAATTGCTGAATAAAAAAGGCTGAACTTTCTACGATTGAAAAAACTTCCCTCCTCTTCCCAGGTCTTTCCATTACTGCAAAACCAAAATGGAAAAACATCCTTAAAGGGTCAGTTACACAAATTACATCAAAACAAAACAAAAAACAGGCAAAAAAATAATAAAAAATACATTCTGCAATGCACCAGAGGTCCATGGAATTTTGTCTGGGGTTCCTCACAACCTTGAAAATGTTTAAATAGATAAAAGAAAGGCATCATGCCTTTCAAAAATCATTGTTGCGGTTGCAGTGGATAATTCACAGAATTAATGGCTACAGGACTATTTCTAACTGGAGAAATTTATACAAAAACAATACATTTTTTGTATATATGTTGTGCATTACAAACTCCATTTAACTCCATCCAACTAAGCCTTTAAAGACTACAGATTCTCTTCTCTTTTGTTCTCCTAATGCCTTTATTTCTTCTCTCCTATGTTGTGGCACCCTCAGGGAAGGACTCATAAAACATTAAACTGCTGCTTTTGTTTGTCACCTGCTCCCACGCGCCAACAAATCACTTCTCCCCAGGAAACCAAATGTCACTGGAACCTTTTAAAGTTACTAATTTTGTCACCTGAGGGGAGCTGAAGGTAATGCTAGCTTTCTTTTTCTTCCTCTCCCTATCTGCCTCCCTCACTCTCCCCTTTCTGCTTGTTCATCCTCTGTGTAAGCTGGACGCTGGCGCCATCGTGTGGTCACAAAAGCCCATAGCAGAAGTACTTATGTCTTTATTTAATAAATCCCTGCAGCGTGCAGACGCAGCTGTACAATAGTCATTTTCATTTTCTGACAATTAAACATTTTATTTTAACAGTTAATACAAATTGCAAATAATTATAAAATAAATATTCTCTTTATTTTGTAATGGTAAACTTTCCTCATTATAAACAGTCTTTTAGTGGAATTGTGTGTGTGTATGTGTGTAGGCAAAAAAAAAAAAAAAAAATATTCATTTAAAAATGTGTTTTCATTCAGACAGTGTGTGCATTAGTTTGTGTGTCCCTCCTCTGCCTCCTTGGTAATGGGAAATTCCAGCGAGGTCCTGAACCGAACAGGCACCTGGCGTTCTTCGTTGATTGGCTGCTTTGCCACGGGGGCGTGGATACGCAGCTGTCCGTCATCCATCAGGGAACAGGAAAGGCCGGCCAGATCCAGGTGGGGGGGCAGGTCGATCTTCCGGGCGAATCCAATCTGAGATGAGGCAGAGGAGCTGAAGGAGGCGCAGGACGAGGAGGAGGAGCAGGACTGGCTCTCTTCAGCTCCGGCCTGCTTCATGGCCACCACGGCCAGGCTCCGCCCCTCCAGTTTGACAGTGATGTCACTGGGGGCGTAGCCGCGAGCATCCAGGGTCACCAGGAGGTCGCCGTTGTTTTCCGTGGCTTGTTGGGCTTCTTTTTGCAGCTCTGTGCTGGGAGTCTCTCTTTGCTGCTCCTGACCATCACTCAGCCTGAAAGAGAATCAGGATCAGGATCAGAATCAGGATCAGGATCAGAATCAGGATCAGGATCAGAATCAGAATCAGCTCCATGACTCTATGGGTGTCTAAGGGTGATTTCAAATCTGCGTTGTTTAGTATATTTAGTGGAATCAGACTTCGGTTCATGTCCCCCCTTGGTAAGATTCATTTGGGCATATCTGAGCACAGCTATGGAACTTGTGTTCGGTGGTTCCGGTCCTGTCACAAACAAATTCTGGAGCGGTTTGATGTCGGCTGCGCTTTGCATACAGCGGAAAAGTTATATCAACAGTTGCTAGCAGCTAGCTGGAAAATGTATCGAGGTCTGATCTGGACTAATACCAAAGTACTTCTTGGTATTTGGAAAGATAGGACCTTCTTCTTGGGTTTTATTCTCACTCCCGCCATAGACACGTCTCATCATCCAACATCTAACCATCCAACATCTAATCATCCAACATCTAATGAGCCATGGACAGCTGCATTTTGGTTCACTTGAAGAAACTAAATGTTGGGTAAAACTTCACCGACTCATCCACTGATTCGGACCCGAGCAAACTAGGTTTGAAAGCGCCCTAAAACATAGCCAATTGGGTTCATCCAGTATCGTACATACCTTGCCAGAGTCGAGGAAATGAAGGGCAGCTGCCGCAGTTTGAGCAGGAGGGGTTCATCGTGGAGCTCCCTCAGGAGGCTGTCGGCCAGCTTGCCTCTCTGGTTGAAGAAGTCTTGTTGCAGTGAGGAAAGGGCCTCGTGACGCAGCGGCCACAGCAGCCGCTCCTGGCTGAAGAAAGAGTCATCGCCGAACAGGCTGGTCAAGGCTGCATGCTGGGACATCATGTCAGTGTGAGAAGACAGTTCTTGACAAAAACTTGACTGTTTATCAGGCGACCTGTGAGTGCTGTGTGTCGTAGCCTCTTTGTGTCTCGTTTGCAAGGCTCCGGTGCAAAGAACCGAGTTTCCAGAGTTTCTTCTTCGTGTTAGTGTTCTATCAGGTAGTTTGGGACGTTACACAGGAGACAGGACTCCCTTATATACCCCAGCTGTCCTTATCCGCCCCTCCCTCTGTGCTATTTACACCCCATGAGCTCACTGCAGTTTGTTAGCGTGTGCCAGCGAGGTCAGGAATGCCCTGCAACTCATCAAAAGGCTAAAGACAGCTCATGGTCATATCCTGTTTGGGTTTGCGTGCATGTGGCTGTGTTCACACCACAGTCCTGAATATGACTTTTACTTCTTAACATACAATGTAGGTAAAGATTTCTAAAGTGTGTGCACAGCAAAAAGATGAGCTCATTACCCATTTTCATGTATCAGTATGAGAATGTCTGGGATGATAGTGAAAAGAACTGATGGCGTGTGAAAAGACTACAAATGTATTTTCATTTCAGACTCAGACTTTGTTGTTGGCAGCAAAACCACAAAGTAAAAGCTGGACATAAGGGAGAGAAAAATGTATCTTAACCCCCTGAGGCTATCCACCATAATGGACATCAGCTATTCATTGACCCAATAACATTGTTTTAAATTTGATTTGTGCCTAGTTATTATAACCTTTGCGAAAATCATGAAATCAATCGAGAATCTGTCTCACCAGGCTTCAATCTATGTGATTGTGGCCGGTACAGTGGTTCTTTGAGGAAGTACTGTCAGAAATTAGAGGGAGAAGACACTGTTAGTCACACAATAGTGGCTGCTAAAGAGGTTAGTGTAGATGCTGCTAACATCAGTTATATCAGAACTGGAGAATATTTCTTCATTGAAAAAAGGGTTTTCTTGATAGACGAGATGTTTTCAGTCTTCTCCCAACTGGCTTCGGTAAGAGTTACATTATATGGTTCGTTGATCTGATTCGTTGAAGTTCACCCGCGATAGACATTGATAGACAGATGGTTCATCCAATCACCTGCCGAGTAGGTTATCAACAATAACTTCCCAGATGGTTCTGTGTAACAAACTGGCACAATCGGGTTAAATTAACTAGACTCTAACTGTTTAATGTTTAATGTGATGTTTTACTTACCTGCTTTTTACCAAATGAAAATACATCCCAATGAACATTAGGTTGTGGTGAAATGTTTAACAAAGTCATGACAACCATTTTTATCATGAAACATGTTTTTTCTAAGGTAAATAATTTTCTATCAATATTCAAGTTGTTAAACTTATTTTTGTATTTCATTGTTACAGGTTCCAAGTTAATTTCCTCATATTATACTTTAAGAGTGTAAAGGGTAGTTCTTGAAATGAAGAAAGTATTACTCATATTTGGATGATGAGGAGCAGAGTTAACATTTTCTCCAATTAAATAGATTTTAATTAAATGTCAAATGTAATATAGTACAAACACAAAGGGATTTGTTCAATGAAATCAGGGGAAAACGAGAAAGGCAGATGTAAGGACAAAACTGTTCTTCTCTAATTGTTTAATTTGTTAAAATAATCCAATTTCAGCTACTAGTGTACAGCTAGCACATGTAGGGTTAAAACACCCAGTAATTAATCCATCATAATACTTTCTACACTCTCAATTGTTGAGCCCAGCGTAGATGATATATAATCTTTGATTTCGCCTAATTTCTTCATAAGAAAAATATGGAAGCACATTTCTGCCAGGAAAAAAAATATGAATAAAAAATGTATGTTCTTTTATGTATGATAAAAAAGAATTATATAACCATTATCATTTTTATTTAAATATATAAATACTGTAAGCAAATGTGTTTAAATCAAGTAGCAGTCCCAGAAGGGTGGTCCTTTGTTACAGTTATGGCTCACACACATGCCTTCTCATGTGCCACGTGGTATATGTGCATTGTTTTCTTGAACAGATTTAAACTGACAAGCAAGAATCAGACTCCAGCAGCTGTTCTGAACTGATCATGTAGACCCGCAGTGAGAGCAAAGCCCGTCTTGTCTCAGGTTACAAGGCTTCATCACTGCTTCTTCGAGGGATGAGCTCAGAGCAAGAACATTTCCCAGAATCTGGCTGCACGTGTGTATTCGTGTGTGTGCCAGCATGCTTACATTACAAGGAGCCAGTGTCATATCTATTTGTGGCTGCAAGTGTTGTGCTGTAAACTTCCTCCATGTCATTGGCTCAAACAGTGAACTGGCTCACATGTGATTGGCTGAAAACAGCTGCTTTATTGTAAAGTTTCTCACTTCTGCTTTTTACTGTGTGCAAAAATAGACAAAACCACAGTCTATTATTCAGATTATTGTTTATATTGATGTTAGTATTGAAGAATTGAATGTAATTTAATACAAGCATTTACTACTACTGTTGTCAAGTGAGTTCTGTTTTTGTCACAGAAGTGTTGATTCAGCTGTGGTCTTTTTTTATATTGGATCACGTTAGGTGTTTTTGGTGAGTTGGATACACACATTTGGACTGAAGTTTGACAGATTAAGACATCATCATACTGAAGAAAAGACAGATAGTAAGCTTTGAGTCATCAGGAGGGCTACTGCAAAAATAAGTGTGTCAGTGAACCAGGGGATGCCAGGGACAGAAATAGAAAGGGAGATTCAAGATGGCTGCCAACTCCTAAGCTCTAAATTACTGGGTTATTATTACACCACCCAAACTAAGTGTGGTCATTATTTATGGTTGTATGAGAGCATCTAGATTAAGATCCCCCATGGCCATATCTGGGTTATGTGCATGTGCAAAAAGAATACTACACAAATATATTCTGTAAGAAATTTAATTTAATAAAATATATAGGTTTATTTTCAAAATAAAACACTTAAATGTAACATTTTGCCTCTAAAACAACATTCCAGAATAAATGTAGTTTATTTACACTAGATTTACTTTCCAAACAAAAACATGGATATTCCTCAATATTAATTTATTTTAACACACAAAATTATACAAATACCACCATTACTAATGCACTCCATTTATACATTTGAACCTGAAACCCTTAAAACCATGCTGTTGTGTTTTATTCTCATTGAAAATAAACTGGTCATTACATTAGAGTTTATCCTTTTAAACTGTAAAAGTTAGCCAGTAAGATACATTAATACAAAGAGAATGTTGTGATCAACCACAGTGACAAGGTCTTAATTCAAATACATTGAAATTGGGTTCACAAACCATGCTGGACTTGGATGATTCTCAAAAAAACAATTAAAATACTATTAAAGATACTGTACGACTTTTTCAGGGAAAGAAGGTTTTAGATTGGGGCTGTTTTATATCCACCATAGTTTCTCCCTCAAGCTTTGAAAGGCAGGGTGAAGTGAGTGAGTTGCAATCTTCAACTACGCTGCTGGATGCCACTAGATCCTACACAGTGGACCATTATGTGTACAATAAAAAATATACATGAAGTATTTTTTGCACATTCTGTACATATAGCTTAACCTCTTAAGGAAGCCAGAGGGCACTGATTTAGGCACCTATTGACCGCATACTGTATAATGAAGCTACCACTTCCCACATGGTAGCATCATTATATGCTCAGAAACCAACCAGTACTCCTTCGCTGAGGGTATACAAACTGGCTTCATGTTTCATAAAACATAAAAGTACTAAAACTTGATTATTACAGGGCTAATGAGCTAATGAGCAAATGAGCTCTGTGAGGCTGTGAGTTCAAGGAACTGCTATCCTATCATCTCACTCAAAACCATCAATGTCAACCTCATGCAGTTGACCCTTTTCAGCCAGTGGAGGCTTCACCCTCTGGGCACCATAAATATCTGAACACAATTTCATGGTAATCCAACCAACAGTCGTTGAGATGTTTGAGTTTGGACTAACTGACCAAGCCTCACCTCTAGTCTGGAATGGAATTTATATCAAAGGCCACCTTTACAAGAACTTGTCTAATGTCTCTCTGGCTTGTCCAGGTAATTAAAATATTAAAACCTTTATCTTCAACCATGCATTCAAGAGTTTTGGTAGTTTCTAGTCTGGTCTAGGTATATGCAATACTGATTATTGAATGACTAGCTGATTGTCCTGAGGGAAAAGACCCAGCTACAATTTATTCAGTAACATTTATATACTCCATCCATTTGAATGGCCAGTTGTCACTCTAAGATTTTAACATTTACTTGTGCGAAAGCGTTTGCAGTGGGTCAAAGGTTCAGTGCTTTATCCATGGTTACCAGCACGAGACTAATAACCAGAGGACCCTTCAAAATTTGTATAAATATCCTCATGTTCTCCACAAATCTTCCCCAAATGACTGGGTTACATTTTCATAGTCTTCATCGTCATCAGTTTCTTCATCATCATCATCATCATCATCATCATCATCGGTTTCTTCTTCCTCCTCTTCTTTTTCTTCTTCTCTGTGTTCCTCTACACTGAAACACACCTCGGTGGTCTTTATGAAATTTACATCAGGGCCTGCTTCTTCATAATCATGATCTTCCTCACTCTCTGGCTCCTCATAATCATTACTGTCTTCTTCTTCTACTCTCCCTTCTTCCTCTTTGAGTTTCTTCTTGCTGTCCATGGGATCAACATTCACATAGTCCTCCTCGTCGTCATCGTCCTCGCCACGTTCATAATCGTTCCCGACTCTGACAGATACTGAAACACAAGAATTGGAGACAAATAGAAGTAAATATAAAAGCACTTCATGAAAGTGTGTATTCAAAATGGAAAATTGTGCATCCTGGTGAGCACAGACATTGGGTTTGGACAAGGACTGCAGGCGGCTTAGCTCGTCGTTTTCTCCTGCAGACCAGACAGACTGCCAGAAAGACCAGCAGGAGCAGCAGCAGAATCCCGGCAGCTACTGAGGAGACCAGCAGCCACAAAGGAACTAAAAGAGAAAAACATCCGATCAGTTTATGCTTCTAAACATCTCTGATTATTATGTATGATGAAATGTAATACTACTTTAGAGTGAGTGTGCAGTTTTCACCCCAGTCTCAGACATGAACTTCAAACTAGTCCGGTTTTGGCTGTCTAATAGAAACCCTGAAGTCAGCAAGAACTGATGCACAGTCATCAGTTATCATATTGCTGGACCTGGCAGCCTCTGTGAACTAAATCCACACATCCGTCTGCATGGTAAGGAAAAGTGGCCAAGCTTCAAATTCTTTCTACTGGGGTACTGCAAGGTCCCCTGCTCTATATACACCACCTCCCTTGGTCTGACTATCTGCTCACATGCTTGCTTTTTCTTGTCAGTGCTATGCTGATAATACCCAACTCTATCTGTCCTTCCTGCCAGACAAACTTACTGTCTACTGCCTATCGCATATCTCATCCTGACTCACTTATATCTTAGAATGAATGATGTAATCCCACCTTCACCTCAAAGTCTCAAGACTGAACTCCTGGTGATCCTAGCCAGTTCTTCAATTCAGCACAACTAAATAAGCCTCCAGTTCAGTTCCATTCTCTCTAACGAGAATTCTGGCTGCTGTGATTGAGAATACTGCATCTGTCACTCCGTCATGTTGCTTGTCAAAGTCTTAACTGACTTAGTTACTCAGTAACAAAGGTCATCTCTCAACTTGACTACTGAAGCACCCTGCTGGCAAGGCTACCAGTATGCACAGTAAATCCTCGGCAAATGATCAAAAATCAAATCATCTGCATACATGTATATTTACATTTTAATTTCAAGAGGTTTCTGGAATTAAAATGTAAAATGTAATGAAAACTCTAAACTTGTGTAACAATTGGAAACCTCGTTGAAGAAAACAAATATTCTGAGTAGGGCACAGGAAGTGAGATCATATTCCAAGTGGGCACTTAAGACACATGTGAAGTATTCTAATGCAAGGTGTGAACTGAATTAACCACAAGGAAGTCCAGTTTCTGTTTGTGTTGAATTTTGTCCACTCTCTCTCTCTCTCTCTCTCTCTCTCTCTCTCTCTCTCTCTCTCTCAAAAACATTATGTGATTAGTGTTTACACTTTCACAATTACTGCACCATGTGTCATTCATAAAATATAAAAATGCTTAGCTTAAATCCTACAGTGAACTTACATGTAATGATGATACTAATCAGTGTTGTTTCGGTGGAAGTGAATTTCCTTGAGGACAGTGTGACTTCATACACACAGCTGTAGTTGCCCTGGTGTTCATACTCAGCTACAGGGAAGTTGAAGGAGGCTGAGTTGTTGACTGCTGGCTTGGTGTCGGTGATGTTGGAGCCAGAGAAGATGAGAGAGAACACACCTCCAGGATAGTGGGAGGAAATGGAGCAGGTGATGACAAAGCTGTAATCCCTGGTGACCTCTGCACCTTCAGGACGCCAGACCAACCCTCTGTTAGGAGATGTCAAGTCGATGCTGGGCTGCTGCAGTGGCACTGGGTACAAAAGGAACAGCAGGATTAAGAAAATATAAACCTCCAGGATGTATAAATCTGTAAAGATAAGCTCCAGATTCCTTGCAAACAGACAAGACAAATCACAGTGCAACATTTTGAAAATAAAATTGAGAACTAAAATGTCATTCCAAGGTTGCAGTTTAATTTCTACATTTCTAAACAACTCTTATCCATCTTCACTCTCTAAATTACACATTGTTTTAGTTTTTCAAAGAACAGCTACACCACAACTTTTAAAGATTTTTACTGTTTACTGAATTCATTTTAAACCATCTCATTTTTGAAAAGCTGCTGTTGCAAAAAGGACTCAAAAAATTATATTTGGAGTCCTTTTGTGTTGTTACATTGTAAATTGATATAAAACGGCTATAGATTGTATTGTTTTGTTTTATGATTAATTTTGTTGAAATATTTTCTAGTTTTCTTACCAGTAACAGAGAGTCTGACAGAGTTACTTAGCGGGGACTTAAACTCTCGACCTGAGTGCATTATCTGATACTGACACTGGTACGATCCCTCATTATCAAAGTTGACTTTGAAGATGCTGAAGGTAGCAGAGTTGGTACTTGACGTTTGGGTCTTTCTGAAAGAGCCTGAGGTCTTCTGCAGGATGAATGTTCCACCTAAATGCTGAGTTGAGATTGAACAAGTAATGCCAACATCCTGACCCCAGGTAACCTCACCAGCAGGATTCATGGAGATGCTGGGCTTGGGGAAGCGAACTGAAAAACAGCAGAACAGAGAGTTGCCTTTGAGCTGATCTATACTTATTTTTACTTCTTATTAGTTTGGTTCCTTTTGATTATTGACACAAATTAATTAAACATTGAGTTCAGGAAAATGCTTTTTTTTTTTTTTACTTAACCAGTAACTGAAAGTCTGACGGCGTCACTTAAGGGGGAGCTGAAGTCTCGACCTGAAACCTGTAACTGATACTGACACTGGTATGCTCCCTCATTATCAAAGTTCACTTTGAGGATAATGAAGGTAACAGAGTTGCTACTTGACGTTTTGGTCTTTCTGAATGAGCCTGAGGTCTTCTGCAGGATGAATGTTCCACCTAAATGCTGAACTGAAATTGAACAAGTGATGGCAACATCCTGACCCCAGGTAACCTCACCAGCAGGATTCATGGAGATGCTGGGCTTTTCAAGGCTCACTGAAAGAAATCAAACAATAATCAGTTTGAGACAGTAGTTAGTGTTGCATCTTTGATCTGAGTTAAGACAAACTAAATTTGAATGATAAAATCATATGTGGATGTTCATGACCCTCCATTTGGGACTTTTAATGTATTTCAGCTTGTAGTAGTCAGTGACAATACGATGTGTGTAAAAAGCAGCTGCTCACTGATGATAGCACTGACTTTAGCTCTGTTAGAACTGCTGACTTCCCAAGGTAATATGTCAGAGTCACCTTCATAGTTTACACGGGAGGGTAATTCTGATATACTGTCGATTATCAGTGGAGTATTCCTTTAACAATGCTTCTTGTTGGATGCTATTATTAAATTGAAACATCCTTTTTTGAGATTAAAAATAAACACATTTCCTTTATTGGTCAAATTCCGGGAACTGCTTGGTTTCCCCAACGTCAGCTAAAAATTGCTAAAAATTGTGCAGACTTCATGAATATCATGTCAGTGTAACTTTTTTTAAATTATAGATAATTTATAGATTATAGTTAATGTAAGTAATCAGTAAACATGACTCAACATTGTGTCCTTTGGCCCCACAGACTGTCACTCTGTTATTATGATTCTGATTATTACTAAAACATACTGTACATCAGTAAGTTATTATACATTTTTCTCACCTGAACAGACCACACCAGCGTCCTCATCGTGTCCACAGTTGTGTGTCCCAAATCCTCTGTGCTGACACTGAGTTAGAGACCTTTCACTTCCTGAACAGCCCACATTATCAAGCCAGATTTGTCCAGTTCCTTCACCAAAGTGGGCTGACTGAGGGGCACTCAGAGCCGTACCACAGCCCAACTGTCTGCACACCACATTAGCATCATTTAAGTCCCAGTCATCATCACAGACTGTTCCCCAGGTATCACTGTGATAGACTTCAACTCTTCCAGAGCACCGAGTAGACCCAGATAATCTGATACCTAGGCACAGAAAATAAAAACAGATGATTGCTGGATAGAATACATATGTATATACAGTATTTACTTAGTTCTAATTTGGTCAGACAGAAACTTTTGTAAATTCCACAAAAGTTCAGATTAACTGACATACTTTTCATCCCTCATACAGACAGAGTAAGATACGCTTTTAACGGTAGATTAAACATTTGATAAACACCTTTAAGTACATCACAGTTTAATTCACAATGTAATAAGCAACATTTCACACTTGTTATTCTGCTCTTCAATAAAGCATGCTGCAGGCTGAGGTTGCTCTTTTACAGTGCTGCATCTGAACAGCTCTGACATCTCAAACCACAATGACGAGGTGACAGAGCTGTTAAAATATACAGAAAATGATACATTTACTCAAAATACTTTATCAAATGTCTTCTCACCTGAACAGTCCACCCCAGCGTCCTCACCGTGGTTACAGTTGTTTACCCCAAATCCTCTGTGCTGACACTGAGTTAGAGAGCTTTCACTTCCTGAACAGGCCACATCATCAAGCCAGATTCGTCCGCTTCCTTGACCAAAGTGGGCTGAGTGAGGGGCACTCAGAGCCGGACCACAGCCCAACTCTCTGCACACCACCTTAGCATCATTTAAGTCCCACTCATCATCACAGACTGTTCCCCAGACACCGTTGTAATAGATTTCAACTCTTCCAGAGCACCGAGTAGACCCAGACCCAGTTAATCTGATCCTCACACCTGTCAAGTAAGTAAGCCATAGCATACAATATTTGAATATATATCACAGAATTTAAAGTGAAAACTAAAATTGTATTGAATTGTATGAATGACGAAGCCGAATGGACTGACCTGCAGCAGGTGAAGTTGAGGTCAAGAGGAAAGAGACTATAGGAGAGAAAAAAATGGAACGGCTGATTACATTCAGTAAGCTAAAAAGGGCAGAAATAAAAGTTTATCTTGTTTCTGTTAGAGATACCCCGCCGCAAATAAACTTTCCAGATAAAATTAAAATGTGGAACGTCTGTCTTACCCATGGCCAAATAGCGAAGGTTACTCAGTCGTATGCTTCCCATTGCTGACACAAAGTTTGCTCTGTATCATTTGTCAGTGACAGCACAGATGACAGAAAACTGAACTACTGGGTGCACAGAAGCTCTTCAGACCGCCTGTCCGTTCTTCCTGGAACACTTCCTCTTTCTCTTTCTGCTGTTTTTTTTTTTTTATCTGAAACTACACACTCAGTGTCTCTAAACCGTAGCCAGCAAACCATTTGTAACAGGAACTTTCAACGGCTCTCTCAGTTTTATGTTGTCCAGATACAGTATGTTTCCATTTTTGTAAAAAGGAAAAAAAAACCAGCGTGGCAGGGGCCAGGACAGAGGGGAGGGTGGGCAGAGGTGGGGTGATGGTAGAGCAGGGGGGAGTTGAGTCTCCGACAGCCGGGGAAGAAACGTCCAGAGCCTGCTGGATTTGGCCTGGACACTGCGCAGTCAAATAGCGAAGGTTACTCAGTCGTATGCTTCCCATTGCTGACACAAAGTCTGCTCCGTATCATTTATCAGTGACAGCACAGAAGACAGAAATCACAGAAGCTCGAGTCCTTTCTGGTGTTTTTTTTTTAGCTGACACTACACAGCACTCAGTATCTATAAACCATAAACAGCAACCTTTGTAGGAGAAACTGCTGTGGTTAATAGGGGAGCAGGAAATTAATATTAGTAGGAGCCACCTCATTGCTGAGGGAGAGAGGGCCAAATATATCCCACCCACTGACAGGAGCCCTGATAACCAGATAATCAGTATTATTCACTTCACCTGTCAGTGCTCATAATGTAGTGTGTAATAGTATTTCTGACGACAAACCAAAATCAAGGTGATCCAACAAACTTGCATGATTGCAATCTAGTCATGGGGTTAGTCTTGTATTAGCCATCAAGTGCACATCTGGGATCCCATGGTTCTTGCTTTAAAATGAGTCTGTTGGTAACATTTAAAAGTCTCCTGGAGACTATATTTCCAACCAACTACTGAAACTAATGTTATCTTAATAAGCTATCGAGCTATTCCAGTCAGTTTCTATTGGCAAAAGCAAGTTTTCAAAACCTGTAGCCGAGTATCTGAGCAGCAAATAATGCATGTAAAGCATGTATTGCTAATTAAATAACCACAATTCTCCACAAATTTAAAAACATGAAATAATATAATAGGTCAGATACAGAACGAATTTAGGGATCAATAAGGATTACTTTACAGAGAGGCTGTGCTGTTGTGTGGTTTGCTGCTCACTCACACTGACTCACATACTGTGGAGATGAAGACGGAATTGTAGGTTAGCGTTTCACAGCCCATCCCCCGTTTCTGCTTCTTTTGGTATTTTAACCTTTCTTGGACAGCAACAGTGAAAAAGCAGGCGGTATGACCTGCAGCAAAGGTAACCAGCTGTAACTGAACCACTGACAGTATTGAACCAGCAATGTTGCAGTTACATGGCTTGCACAGTAGCCACATGATTATCAAGGTGCAACATAATTTTGGCCTCTTTATGTGCTCAACAGTATCAGTTCCCCAACTTAACAGAACAAACAGACTTACTTTCACACGGCAGTACTACAGGTTGCTCCAGGTGAAACTGTGGTAAGTAAAAATAAACACAGGAAGCTGTTAGTAGCTTTGAGAATTCCTTTTACATATTCAGCTGATATAAAGCAACATTAGCAATTATATATCTGGCGCTTGAAAAGCTAAATGTTTCCACTTTGTTCACCAGCTAATCGGCAACTATGTCTTTTTGTTAGAAACAAGATTAACTTATCTCTAGATATCAATGGTAGCAGCCAGTTAGCCTTCTATGATAGACTCTCATGCTGTTTAACCTAATGAGCATTTAGAAGAGACAAAAATAGCCCCAAAACGCAACATACAGTACACACTGATGCACATTCTGTACGTACACCGATGTGGTTGTGGTAGATATTAGCTTCCTCTTTCCTGGCACCCTAACCATTTTCTGTCTGTGAATTTGTTTCCTTTTCTCTCTTATTTTCTTGTCTGGGTTGTTGAATTTAGTACGCTCAATATTTCTATAATATAATATAAATAGTATTATAATGATCATTATGTCCACCTGTATGTAATAAACAGAAACATTCACAGCATGTGTAGCATGTTGTGCAAAGTACTTTATAAATAACTAGTTTAGAATGAACAAAAGCTTTTCTTTCCAGGTTTCCAGGGCAACTGTGCTCAGTTTAGAGCCTTTTTATGTGCTCAACAGTATCAGTTCTCGAACTTAACAAGACAAACACACTTTTACACAGCAGTACTTTGGTTGCTTACAGGAACTCCATGTAAAACTGTGGTAGTTTTAAAGAATCTTCTATACTAAGAAAAATAAATGACTAGTTTAGAATAAACAAAAGCCTTTCTTTGCATTAAAATGTGGTTTGAGGAAATTATTTGTCCTGAGAACTGCACATTGTGTTACTGTAATATACGCATTAGTTTGTAATGTTTGATCAGGAACCAGTGTTGGTTTCAGTCATATATTTCTCAGCTGTACAACTAGTGGCACTGAGGCTTTAAAAAAAACTCTGAGATTGGTGTGTGAAATGCCAACAAGCTCCTCCTCATTCCACTTCCACAGTGTGTGTGCTTCTCTCTGTCTATGCTAAATCTCCACAGGAGGGTTATAACGTCACTGCAATAGACGTGCAGAACGTGAAATCATTCTTTTCTATGACACAAGTAAGTCTCAAGTTCTGGCTTTTGAGTTAAGTCCCAAGTCTCTGTTCAGGGTATTTTTAAGGAAGTCTTGCATTTCATGAAGCAAATTCAGGCCGTAGCCTACAGATCATTTTCATAGCTGGAAAGCAGAACTGACACTATACTCTGGTGTTGTGGTTTCACTCGAGACACCAGCTCAGTGCTCTTAGTGATTTAATGTGTTCAAAATGCTTCAGCTTGACATCAAAACTGGCTTCTTTGCATTTTTCTGTCCAGGGACATGTTGGACGGACGTTTCTCCTTTAATAAGACGTTACTGCTCTTCAGGAGGAATTTATTCTTTCAAATGTTCTGTAATGTTGCTGGTCTTATAAAGTTACTTGATGTCCTTTGAAAAACAGCGGTGGCTCCATGCAGCAGTCACTCTTTAGAGACACACAGCCAGTTCCAGGTCTAGCAGAGTTGGGCGTGGGCTGCTGCTGCTCTGGCCTTCAACACAACACACACACCGCTGTGAGAGTGAATAATGATGGTGGAGTGATCTGAGTGCTGAGCTCTGACACTGAGAAGAGTCACAGATTCTCATCTGACCTCTGAGCTTTGGTCTGGCTGCCTAGACGCACAAGTCAGTCTCTAAATGCTTCACTCAATAGAGACTGAGGACTGTCTCCTAGCTGTTGTTGCTAAAGGTGGGCAGTGAAACTTGCTGTGGCAACGGCTGCATTAGCTCCTTCAAACTTCCTATAGTTTTCGTTTTAATCAACTGTTTTTTTTGTGGCTTTTTTGCTGAAACACATATTACTCATGACAAATTGCCAGCTCAAAAATTAAATGTTGAACGCATCATTGTCTCTCCACTGAATACCTCCATGACAATTAAGTGAATTGAGTGCACAATTGTGATGTCGATCTAGAGGGACATAAAATGAAAAAAACACACAGGAATTCTGCTTTGATTGGTCACACTGAGGTCACATTGCAAAAAATCAGACCTATATCTGACCATATCACAACTGATAAGATCAGATTCCATGTGATTTGTGTTGTTGCTGTGTGTTTGCTGTCAGATCTGAGTGGATGTGACTGCATATTTGCATGTGTGGTAATGTGTTCTAATGCCAGGTGTGAACTGATGTTATGCTTAAATCCTACAGTGAACTTACATGTAATGATGACACTAATCAGTGTTGTTTCGGTGGAAGTGAATTTCCTTGAGGACAGTGTGACTTCATACACACAGCTGTAGTTGCCCTGGTGTTCATACTCAGCTACAGGGAAGTTGAAGGAGGCTGAGTTGTTGACTGCTGGCTTGGTGTCGGTGATGTTGGAGCCAGAGAAGATGAGAGAGAAAACACCTCCAGGATAGTGGGAGGAAATGGAGCAGGTGATGACAAAGCTGTAACCCCTGGTGACCTCTGCACCTTCAGAACCCCAGGCCAACCCACTGTTAGGAGATGTCAGGGAGATGCTGAGCCGCTGCAGTGGCACTGGGTACAAAAGGAAACAACAAAATATAAACCTCCTGGATTAACAAATCAGTAAAGATAAGCTCCAGATTCCTTGCAAACACCTATTCAAGCTGCAACTTTTTAACAACTCTTATCCATCTTCACTCTCTAAATGACACATCCTTTTAGTTTTTCAAAGAACAGCTACACCAAAACTTTTATTATATAAAGTTTATTGTTTACTAAATTCATTTAAATGATTTAAATTAATTTATTTTACATTTTTTAACCAAAAGCTGCTGTTGTGTTTTTACACTGTCAATCAATATAACATGATCCAAAACAGATTTTAGTTTAGTTTAGTTTTGTTTTATGACTTTTTGTTGATGTATTTGATATATTTTTCTTTACCATTAACAGATAGTCTGATAGAGTCACTTAAGGGGGAGCTGAAGTCTCGACTTGAAATCTGTGTCTGATACTGACACTGGTATGCTCCC